CGACTAGGTGGTGTGGAGAGGACCGAAGACTTGCAGGGCTCCCCCCTGAAGTTTCGCTCACGGGACAGGCGCCCGACTAAGTGGTGTCGTATCAACGACTCACGTCTCACACGGGTCTGTCCCGTCACCCAGTCCACTAGAAAAACTGTCAGCTACTAATAACTTTCCCTTCGGAATCCTCGGATCATTGAAGCACCTGCGAGCGACCGAGCTCGCTCGCCCATCGAATCACTTCCTCTGGAGTTGACCCTAGCTTCTGTCGAGACTTTCCATCAGGCCGGGCCTGAATCCACGCAACTCTGCATGCGAGTCTCCTTACTCTGATCAACCCATTGGGCCTCATTCACTTACTAACCTAAAAAACGGTGGAAAACTTGAGAAACTAAGGCAAAGTCGGTTTACTCAGAAATAAGATTACTCAAGTTCCTCAGACTCACCCTTAAGATAAGAATCCTCAAGATCTTACGTTAGTTTTTTGCAAAAAATGTGAGTAAGGGAGTTAGTTCATTCCACTAACCCACATTCTTAAGGACAAACTCAAGATCTCGGTAATCCCCGATTGGCTGAATCTCAAACCGAACGAAACTCAAAAACACTTCTAGAAACTTAATTGTGACGACGGGTAAATTTCCGCATTAGTCTTTTCAACAAATTGACCTTCTCATATGATTGTCTCTTCTCCCGAACTCTCCGTTTAGCCAGAACACGATACGTTCCACTGAAAAATATAGTGAGGACTGTTGTGCTGAGGGCTATGACGTTGAAGGGCATGCTGAAATCTGGCATCGGCAGCATCACAAGCAGACCGTTGGTAAACCTGGAGAATGATACATCACTCGGATTAGAAACAATTATGGTCATCAAACCAAAATTCTATTTATAGGGAAAAAACTTGAAAACTTCCGTTTCTTTTATGAACATTTTTTCGCGCGAAAGACCTCACCAGAGTCGTACTAGTTCCGAAACATCATTCGGTGTAGTATCACAATACGGAAGTCTCAAGGAGAACCCTCTACTACTGCGGCTCCGCTGAGAAAACCAAACATAAATTTCAACACTGAACAGCTCAATGTTAGATAGTACGCCTCGAAACAGGAGATCTCCCCCGGCTTACCCTCGATGAATCCGCATCTCGCCGATTCGAACTTCATACATAGCAGCCTCAATATCAAAGCCTTTCTCACAAGCATACGAATAGGACTTCATATGAATGTGAGACTTCAACACTGGTACAGTCATTTGCCACTTTTCGCCAGGCGAAAGCTCGACCTCAATTCGAAACCTCGTCGGCTGCGTCCAGTGGTCCGTTGGGTTAATTTCAATACCACTCCTCTTTGAACTCTCCTTCGCTTTCAAATTCGACATTTGTCTTCCACCAGAATACCACAACGGCCGCAGAAAAAACGGCAATTGGTCAAACACTGTAACCGTAACAGTTTTATCTCGCAGAATATTCCGAATCTCGAGCGCGTACTCAGCTCGCAAGCGATCTGGATATTCATCTTTCCGCAGCAACGATCTCCTCACTAACACCGGTTGAGGTGCAAGTTCCCGACTCTGCGAAAATATATCATTTTTTCTTCTACCAACAAAACCTTACTTTGATGATTTTAGAATTTTCTGCATCTACTGCTGGACACACTGCGTAACCTCCCGTAGAATGCGCACGTAAGAGTCGTTGGGCTACGATGGAGTTCGACGGGAGCTGAATTTCGAGGCGCGCGGTCATTTCCATCCGGGAACTCCCTGTATCGATCGGTGTGACCGAAGCCAATAATCCCAGTGAGAAGAACTCACCTGACAGTAGTACCCTATGGAATCAGCTATGTTACGAGATGGACGGTATGATAATATCAACAGAAGCTTACTCTCGGCAAATGCTATCTTGGAGGCTTCGTCATTCATAAGAACCGCAGCTAATCCCAGTCGATCAGAGCATGGCAAAACGGCCAACCACGGGGTCAAATTCTCTGTACCTGCTTGCAGCCTCTCATACCACTCCTCCCGCAACATATCCAGGAATCAATCAAGCCACACCCGCAACAACTTACGGGAAACAGCTAACCGCTAGTTCCACACAAATCTCAGTACACTCAGAAGAGCTCAAACAACCAAGACGCTATTATCGGTACTGACGGGCACAGCGAGATTCCCCGACTTACACGTAGGTTCATACGGTAGACCTTCCCACATCAAACCATCTGGTGTAACAGACGGTTGTATCCACCCAAAGCTCTCATGATCAGGATCTAAAAACCGCACAGGTTCAATCCCCACACCTTACATTTAATACCCATTCCTTCAAAGCTAGCTCCAAGCACACCGCTCAAAGCCCACGTGAGTCTCCGCCATTTCTCATCTCGTTTCCGCTCTGGTATCCTCGCCATCAACATCGCCCCTGGAGGGAATCTGAAATCATTTATCGAATAAATTATTTCTGCGGTTAAGTATAGGAAACGGTCAAATACATGTGTTGGGAAACTCCTGAGCTCAGGTGACTCAGCTGAGGTGAGGTAAGCGATTACATATATTCCTACTCCAACACTGTATATGAAACTCTTCTGAGCTCAGCTGAGGAAAGCGATTACATATATTCCTACTCTAACACTGTATATGAAACTCTTCTGAGCTCAGGTGAGGAAAGCGAACATATATTCCTACTCCAACACTGTATAGGAAACTCGTCTGAGCTCAGGTGAGGAAAGCGAACATATATTCCTACTCCAACACTGTATAGGAAACTCCTGAGCTCAGGTGAGGAAAGCGAACATATATTCCTACTCCAACACTGTATAGGAAACTCCTGAGCTCAGCTGAGGAAAGCGATTACATATATTCCTACTCTAACACTGTATATGAAACTCTTCTGAGCTCAGGTGAGGAAAGCGAACATATATTCCTACTCCAACACTGTATAGGAAACTCGTCTGAGCTCAGGTGAGGAAAGCGAACATATATTCCTACTCCAACACTGTATAGGAAACTCCTGAGCTCAGGTGAGGAAAGCGAACATATATTCCTACTCCAACACTGTATAGGAAACTCCTGAGCTCAGGTGAGGAAAGCGAACATATATTCCTACTCCAACACTGTATGGGAAACCCCTGAGCTCAGGTGAGGAAAGCGAACATATATTCCTACTCCCACACTGTATGGGAAACCCCTGAGCTCAGGTGAGGAAAGCGAACATATATTCCTACTCCAACACTGTATAGGAAACTCCTGAGCTCAGGTGAGGAAAGCGAACATATATTCCTACTCCCACACTGTATAGGAAACTCCTGAGCTCAAGTGAGGAAAGCGAACATATATTCCTACTTCAACACTGTATAGGAAAC